TAAGTGGTCATTTATTCTTTACCATGCACTAAGCCAGTAGGCATTGTTAAGATAATTTACATAAATTATCTCATTTATTCTTCACAATATGCTTCTCAGATAGTAATCACTAAAGGCTCAGAGGAGGTTAAGAAACTTGCCCCCCATATCATAAGGATGGAAATAAACAGTTCAAATAAATGTTCATTACCAGTTCCAAATATGAAGAATATAATTATTCCCACAATAACTCAAGCACAATGTTCACATTCATATTGATGTACTTCATTTCCAAATTATCATAAGCTATCAAGTAGACTTGGCCAGAAACAAGGTTGAAATCAGTTTACATTTACCTAGTTAATACTTGGTGGACTTAACAAATTTTATTTGCATTCACAATAAAATCAAGTATAATGCTAGCTGACTGCAGAGTCACTATTTACAGCCACAGGTGGAGGGGGGGAGGTAGCAAAGTTTAAAGGCAGCAGGTTTGGCCCCCTTAAAACAATCAATAGCTGTGTGCAACCATGGGAAATCTGGCCCTAAAGACGATAGTAATCAATCCCCTATATTAGACCATTGAATCCTGAGTAGTTCACATACACACACACAATTTAGTGATTATATATTGTATCAGCTTTAAAAAGGTTCATGCAATTGTGGATTTTAATGCAGCACAGTTCCTTAAAATTGTCATTATTTCCTTAATGGAACTAATGCATTCCTAAACATATATTTTCACAAATTATTTTTACTGGCTTTACCTAAAAAATTGGCTATTTTCTTCTGGAATATAACTGAATCCCAGGAAATAAAACTTGAGAATGCCTGTGTAAGGTGCAAAAAATTATTTTCAGTTCGTGCAACCTGCTGGCTTTTTAAAGAGTGTTTCTTTGGCATGAAAAGAAAACATAGGAGACATACAAATCTTTGCAGCTGTAAATTAACAAATCAGGGTACATGCTTCCTGAACACAGATCTCGCTAAATAAGAGTATGTTCACTAAAAAAACAAAAACAAAAACCCTCAGTCAATGGGACCAGAAAAGGCTATAAAACGTTTTTTAAAGAAATTTCAAATCGATTCACTGTGTTAACAAATCCAGTAACAAATGTCTTTATACAATTTCTTTAAAAGCCAGGTCCTTCCCCTAGCATATGGTAAATTCTTTTATTTACAAAAGCGCACATACACAGAATCTCAGGAAATTGAGGTATTAGAAAATTGAGATATATTTATACAGCAGAGGTAGTAATGAAAATCCATAACTAAAAATGAGCTTATTTCTTAGCATTATAAAAACTTTACATTATGACCCCTACATCGTTCACATTTTCTTAAGTAGTATAAGATAGATTTTGGCACTTTGGTGGTCTTTGTTATCCCTAGGTCTTTTGACAATTAAACATTGCTATCAAACATTTGCTTTGAGCTTTCTCCAGCAGTGTTAACAAGCTGTACCAAGCTCGGCATTCTTTGGCCAGATGTTTTCCACCCCTACTTCTGCCCTTTTGATGAATTAAACGAACTAGTTGACCAGCTAGAATCAAGGGTGACACACAACATGGCCAGAGAACACAGCAAAACTAATCTTCTCTCAAAAACAAAAAGACACTTGCCTTTCCATCAGTATGAATGATCTTCCAGAATTAAAGTTAGTATAAATATGATACGTTTGACTACTGGTAAAATGAGAAATGACAAATCTCATTTAGGGATGAAATGACTTCAAATTCATCTCAAATGAGAAATTATTGGGTTTAACAATGTAAAATATTTTATCACTGAAAAGACAGGACAGTCTCATCAAAAGCTAATTTTTGGCACTTGAATTTGTGCATCTCTGCAACCCAGAAAACGTCCGAAGAAAAACGGAAAGGGCTGCCTTTCTCAGAAGGGCTAGATCACAATGGGGGCAAGGAGAGAGGTGGTGTCAAACACTGTACTGATGCAACAGGCAATCAACAGAAACAGTGCGTTTATACTCTTGCTTAGAGATCATTTTTAATCATGACCCTTCCATTTCATAGTTCAATAAATTAGTAGTCTTAAAAATCCTATTGAAAAAAACTGCTTTCCTTAGTTACTACCACTTAAATATTATCTAAAGCTATGCTGTCCAGTAGCCACTAACCACATGTGACTTTAAGTTTCAGTTAATTAAAATTAAAAATTCAGTTCTTCAATCATAGTAGCTTCTCTTCAAGGGCTCACTAGCTACATGTGACTAGTGGCTACCATACTGGAGAGCACAAAAAACATTTTCATTATTGTAAAAAGTGCTATCGGATAGCACTGATCTGAAGAAAGTGCAGTGTGCTATATGCTCATGAGATTTTTCACTCTTCTTGAAAGTTGTTTAAAAATATCACTAAATCTCTGGGCTACATATGAATAGTGATCTCTGCTCACAGCTATCACAGGATGGTATCAACTTTCTGATCACCATTCAATTTATGAGGTACTCAGGAGTTCCACGTAAGACTCAAGGAAAACATGAACAAGATTATTTTCACTATCTGACCATAAAAGAACAAAGTGAAGACTGCATGGATGATGAAAGTAACTCAGCACTCATATTTAAAACAGATCTTTCTTCTACTAATATCCATAAATCTTGAAATGTAAAAGCATGCATAGCTACCATTTAAAGCTTCTCACAAGAATGGGGCAAATAGCCCAGATATTGCTCTATTTTACTTTGGTGTCTTAGCAAGAGGGGAAAAAACATTACTTAAGTACAAACCAAAAAAACAGTAAATTAAAATAAAAAGTCTTAGGAATAAATTGCTACCAAACTAGGACAAAAAACCAAGTTTTGGTTTCATGCATGCAAAAATGCTCTCATTTGTATTGATATCTGATATCTGAGCGGACTAACTTTGAATGCCTTTGGGAAAATCAAGTTCATGTTGTTATTTTCAAATTTACTTTGTCAGAACACAAAGTAGATAATAATTATATATCACTTCTTCCAAATAATTCTTGGATGGGAGGCACGAAGTGGGAAGCTGAGTGGATTGCTTGTTTTTTTTTTTCTTAGTAGGTAAAAGCAGAACAACTCAATCATAAAATGCACACAGCTGTATCTAAAAGAAAAATGCAAACACAACTTAACCAACTTTATTTGACTGCATCTTATTTAGACAGCTTGCACATTTCAAATCCCATTAAATCTCTCTCTCCAAAAGGATATGGGACAATAGAAGAAAATTATGCAGCAATATCCAGTCATCAAACAGCAGTCCAATATTTTGAGATACACGTGATATTTTATAGATACTCAACTCATATCTGACGTCAATATAATTTATGGTTATGTTTTTACAAACCTGAAAGCCCTGTAACATTATAGCACTCATTTTAGTGATGTCATGGTGCACTGAAAAGAAACTGATGCACTACCAATTTGCTTTTATCTATGCTCCTGGAAAGTGATGAACTCCATGATTTTTAGACACCATAATAAATATACACATCCAGTCTTATACATGTCAGCCAATACCATAACACAGGGCAAGGTAAAGTTAAAACATGTGACAAACAAACTCCTTTACACAGATTTGTCAAGCAAGTAGGGAGGGTAATTTACTCAGTAAGTAGGGAGAGTAAAAAACCAATTTTTTAATAATTTTTTCTTTTTTTATTTTGTTGGCTTCAACTTCAAAAACTACTGTCTGGTTTCTGATCTGTGGACTCCCCTAGAGTAGTTTCATCCTAATGTAAGGGAAATTACAATCAGTCCACACATCAAAAATGGTAGCATACCCGTTAGCTTTTTCAATACTAACATATATAGCTTCATGGTAGCATGTATAAAAATGTTCAGCAGTTCCAACTGCCAAACCAGTGTCAGTGGATAGTACAGTCAGTCTTAAAGAGGCAGCACCCCGTTAAAAGAAAGTTGCACCAATTTTGCTCAGTTTTAGCCAAGTGAACTCACACTATCAATTTTAAATGAGACTGTTTGAATATTATATAAGACGAAAGCCCAATATCAAAAAGTAAATGAATGCCTGATGCTGCTTCAACTGGAATGGAGACTTAATTTTGATGCTGGGTTATCATGCCAGATGTTAACATTTTAGTCTACTTAAGTAAACAACTTTTGCATACCCAATTAAAGACATTAAGGTAGACATTTATATTCAACATACACCAGGTTGAAAAACACGGCAGCCATCTGACTCTTTGGCCACAGGATTTAAGGTCACGTTTATAAACACCCAGTCAGTTCAGCAACCTGGTCAATTCTGGGAGAAAAGGGTCAGTAGAGATGGTTTGACAACCTACCAAAAACATAATGGCTGAAATGAAAATCTAGCATGTATCTATCCACTTTAGAACTGTCCCCATTAGTGAGTCAAGCAAATATATGTTCATCAACAATCATTACTAATGAATCAGCAGGTCAAATATAAAGCAGTGAGATAAACTTTGACAACTCTTTTAGTTCAGTTCCCTCCATATCAAAAATAACAGAAGCATCACTATGATTGGCATTCCTCTAAATGCTAGAGCCCAAATGACGTGTGACCAAAGACATACTCAAAACAGTCAGCTGGAATCCAGCTGAGTATCGAGTGATCATCACATTTTTAATGCAATCAGTACTCTGCCCATTAAACTTTCAAAGAGCAATGTAAAATGGAAAGAAAAATTGACTTTAAAAATGAGGAACTATAAATGATCCCACCAGCAGGAAGATTTTATTTTCACCAAATCTGTGTATCTTTATTTTAAAAATATGTGTTACCATGTTCACTTTCAAGACACTACACTGAGCAAGGAGCAGCTTTCCTTTAAAAAGAAAAAAAAAAAGGCAACAAACTTTCCTGAAAGGGGGCTTTTACCAACTGTTAATGGAGGTAGGGTTTTTAAAAATACAGTAATTATAGCCATAAAATAAAATTCAAACCAAATCCTAGAGCAGAAATAAAGCATATCCAAATTAAAGAAAAACAAACACAGATTCCTAGAAAACATTTTTCACAGAGAATCAATCTTTTTTTTTTTTCATGGGTACCTAGGTTTTCCAGTTAAATTATCCATCACAGGTTTCCTGACTCAACTGAAAGCAATTAACTTAAAAATTTGGTACACTGCACAGATTGACCAAAATACAATGTAACTGAACACGGAGATAACTATTAAGAAAACCCATGGAACTCACTCCAAAAAAAATTCCAATTTTCCCTTTTGTTTTTCTCGGAACTAAGCAAAGCTTCCCCAAGAATTTGCTTAAATAAGTGAAAATAAAATAAAATCAGCTTAAAATGGATACAATGAACCTTCAAATTTATTTCCAAGACCAAGAACCAAAAGTGAAACATTTTAAGAAATGGAAGCAATGTGAATCCAAATCAAGTGGGAAAAAAGTTCCAGCTACTTTGTAAAAGCTGTTTTTCACAGCTTAGCAATAATTTTGATTAAATAAAATCATACCAATTTACATTAATTTTCTATTCTTTTCCAAAACTTCCCTCACTCTCAAAAAAAAAAAGTGCATCCAAAACCCAGCAATTCCCGGCTCCATCAACTTTTCTCAGCCCTTTTGAGTCATTTCTCAAAGATTTTCCAAGAAGATTCAACTTCTTACTGTAAGGAAAGACGGGACTTTACAGTAAACCACTCTGTCACTCACCTGGAAAAAAGTATCCAAATTATAAAAATCTGAAATAATTTATTACCAAATTTAGAATTTAAATAAAAACAAAAGTTTGCTTGCAAAGGCCTGAAAGAAAAGGAAAAGATAGCATGCATTCAAAAACTAGAGATGAAGACAAATATACTTATCTACACAGGCACTGGCAGACGCGATTTAATTGTTATCTTTACTCATTGTAAGACACACCCAACCCTACATAACATTTGTTTTTCATTCACTAATCACTGAGGTACCAATATCCAAGAATGGAAAATTTAATATTGAAAAAATAAAACCTAAAATTGAAGCTTTTCCCCCACCCCCTTCAGAAAACTATGGCAGGTTTCATGTGAAATGTTAGTATACTTAGAGATTTTTACAGTCTACATTGGCTTTTTTAAGGAACAAAAATCATGTTCCACTTACTGGTTCTGTGACAAAATGATCACTGTGTAAATAACATTGTCAGCAGACTTTGCAAATGAACAAACAAATCTTGGCTATCAACTGGCACATCTTGCTGGTACCAAAAGAACTCTTTAAGTTTAAAACAATCTCTTTTAATTCAGAACAAATGCGCCATGCCAAAGTGCAACAAATATTGTGCGACACTCAATGAGACACTGACAGATAAGAGCTGCATGGAAATTACTAAATCCACCTGCAAAGCAATTCTGTACAAATTGCATTGCATGCAAAGGTCGATTCTGCGTGGTTGGAAAGTTGTTCCTTGATATCAGTTTCTCAACGCAGCCACAATTTAAGTCGCAGTGCATCAACTCCGTTTAAATAGTATCTGAACAGCCTCTTATCTCGAACAAAACCAAGATTTTCATAAAGTTTCAAAGCAGACTTATTCGTTATTTCTGTTTCCAAAACAACCTTCAAAAAAATATGAGAAAACTAAGTTATAATTTTATACATTTGAAATTAATACATAATTTCATAATTTGACAAATCACATATAAAGTAAACAGATCAAATATTTAAGAAAAACATTCCATATTGGTTTTAAAATTGGTGGTAAAGACAATAAATAATGATGTATAGAAAGAACCCAGAAAATGGTCATTGAAATTTTAATAGTAATTTTCTCTTGGGGCAAGCAGAGGTAGGAATGTGGACATTTTCTGTTCCACTGATTTTTGTGATGTCTGAAGTTTTTAGCAATGATTATACTAAAACAAAGATGAATTATTTCCCCGTGGAGAGAAGAAGTGTGACAAAAAAATGGAAAAGAAGAAAAACACCAACAATACAAACTTTAAGAAAATACAATCTGAAACTATTCAAATTGACCTCCAACTCTTTACTCCTATATTTCCATTAATTTGTCATCATTTATGCTGGCAACAACTACCCTATTTGTCTAGAATCTAGACTAGAATCTGCAAATTATGTCCCTTGGGCCAAATGTGTCTACTGCTGATTTCTGTAAATAAAGCTTTATTGGAACGCAGCCATGACCAATTGTTTATATACGGTCTATGACTTCTTTTCTCAATATAAGGGCAGAGTTGAACAGCTGCACCAGAGACCTATAGCCCACAAAGTCTAAAATTATTTACCCATCTGGTCCTTTGCAAGAAAGTTGGCCAATCCTAGACCGAAGATACCCAAACATTAGTCAACTGGATCACAGAGAGCCTCCTCCAGAGTTTCTGAGTAGATTTTGGGTGGGGCCCAGGAATTTATATTTTTAAAAAATTGCCAGTTGATGCTGATGATGCTAGTTGGAAAACAACAGTCTGAGAGCCACAGACTATACATTATGGACATCACACTTAACAGAAGAATACACAAAATATTAACTTCTGAGTCATTTTTAGTATTACTGAACCAATGGCCCTGACAATGAAGAACTGATACTTTTTGAAGACTGTGTGATTTTCTTTTATTATTACTATTATTATTTTGTTTTTCCCTTCCTCTACCCAAACATCCTTTATTCCATCCTCCCACCTTTTACATACACAGCTCTATTTGCCTTTCTATCGATTCTCAACCTACCTCATTGAGCCACAGTTACTGTTGGGATGTCATAAGCCTCAGGTGTTTGAAGTGGGACAAAAAGGGCAAAGTATAATTAAACAAAGGTCTGAGTCACTTTTTGTTCTATCTCAAGCTATCAAAACATTTAACAAGAATTCAAATAGATGTAAATAATAAAGAAGAAAATGTACTTCATCATATCCAAAACTGAACTCATGATCAGTGCCTCTTCTACAATTCAATAGATCATTAACAATACTACAATGCCTCAAACCTGAAAACCTAGGAGTCACTGTTGAACTTCTTTCCTCTCTACCCAACTACATACATCCAAGTACTGAGTATTTCTATTCTTTCTCTTAAACCTCTCTCAAATCAACCTTTTTCCTTTTATCACTACTCCTACCACTCCAGTCCAAGCTGGCATCAACTTTCATTATAATTACAAGATACTCCTAACTCAAAAGGTTTCCCATTTTCTTTAAGTAGAATGATGTTCTTGTTAACCCCTGCTTAGAACCATTTACTGCCTCCCTTTTGTCCTCAAGATAAAGTTCTCAATTTATAGATAATCTAGGGGTGCCTGCCTGGGTGGCTCAGTCAGTTAAGCATCCGACTCCTGATTTCAGCTAAGTCATGATCTCATGGTTTGTGAGACAGAGCCCTGCCTTGGGCTCTACAATGACAGTCATGATCAGACTTTGGTCATAATCTCACAATTCGTGACATCAAGCCCCACATCGGGCTCTGTGTTGACAGTGCAGAGCCTGTTTGGGATTCTTTCTCTCTCCCCCCACCCTTCTGCCCCTCCCAGACTCTTTCTCTCTCTAAAAAGAACTAAATAAACTTTTTTTAAAAAGTTAAAAAAATAAATAAAGACAATGTAAAGAAACCTAAAAGGCCCATCAAGTTATGGGCTCTATCTACCTCGCCAACTTTGCTTTAGGTCTATCCCCTGGCTCTCCATGATCAACACTAAACTTTCAATTTCTGGAACCCACCTTAGGCTTTCATATAAATTGTTTTCTATCCGGAAGGATGCTCTTCCTGTCCCCCCTGCTTTTGGCCTTAACTTATCACTTCCAGACTGGGTGGATTATCCCTTTCTTTTCATATTACCCCACTGCTCCTTATTCAACTGCATTCTCATTCAACATTTGATGACCATGTCCTCTCTCCTGCCATCTTCCCGTCTGGAACAGTCCAGTCTGATCAATACAGGTTTTCAATTTTGAACAAATCTCTTAGGTAACTCCTAGACCTCTGTTTTAGACCACCACCTACTTACAACTAAAATATTTCATCAAAACAATATGTGAAACAATGGTACAACTCAAAACTTGGAACTTGATTTCACAGAAAAAGGAGTGACAGTGTTTTTTTAAGCTAATACTTACTGAAGGCTTATTAAATGCTATCTAAAGCATTTATATACATCATATCATTTTATATCCATTTGTGATTATATTATTTTCATAAATACCTCATGAAATAGAATTTTCTCCAATTTACAAATGAATGAAATTCAAGGCCACCAGTAGTGCAAAAACAGACCAGACTCCAAATCTGAACTAGAACTTAATAATATCCACTCTTCTGTGCCTCCCCAGATTGTTTCCCAGAGTAAAACAAAGGAGGAAATGGGAGATCTAACCTACTTACAATGCAATGAAGGGGATTTAAGTCCATCTTCATTAACATTTGGCAATCAAAAATATTCAAGACACATCTGAGCCTAATTATGGCTACATAAATACACACTTGAGGTGTGGTAAAGAGTTGAATTTGCCTTTGTTGGCATCCTAGCAGATGAGTGAAATACAGCCCAATTACACAGACATGGAATTACACAAAGGGCTGACCTTAGTTGAAAATCAAAGGATTTTTAAATCCTCTCGGTACACTCATACTGTGTCAACAAAGAGATCATCTGACAAAACAGAAAATGTCAGAAAAAAGTAACTACTTTTTAATACTTAATCACTTAAATTCTTTTAAATATATTAAAAGAGAATCTGGGTTTATAATGAAAACTCAGTATGAAACTATTCGCTTAGTCCACATCATGGGAGTATTACATAGGAAGCCAAAGGATAATGAAGTTATTTTGGTCCCAAAGAAACTTGGCAAAGTTGAATTCTACTTAACAGAAAAAAAGGATTACAGTGAAGTTCCACAGATTCTCTTAGCAACAAACCATTGTCAGGATAAGCCAAACTATTAGTTTAGAAAGCGCTCCTCCCCCCCCCCCCCCGCTTTTTCTTTTAATATTTTAGGCTGGAACTGCTGGAGCTGCTCACTGCTAGAACGTAAGTACTAGCTTATCATCTGGCACTTCATAGACCTTATACTGATACTGCTGAATGAACTTTAGTGCTCTTCATAACATTCCTATAAGATTAGAATTGCCACCATACTGCATAGACAAAGAGACAGGCTACAAAATATGTTAAATGACTTGCCTACAATCACACAACTATACTAAGTGACAGAAGATGAATCTAGAACCCAGGATTCTCATACCCAGTTCTTGAATTAGAATAGACTACTTGACAAAAACTCCTTATAGCTTAAATAACTCCATTTTACTCTGCTCTTTACCTAGCAGCCTCTGTCTGATAGCCAAAATGTTTCCAGTGAAACTAAAAATGTTCAACATCTGATTGCTAAACATAAAAAGCTTAAAAGTCACCTTTGTACATTATCAAAAAATAATAAAAATACATGATGTGTATTTGTACATATCAAAATATCAAATGTATTTTGTTAAAATGTAACAGATTTATTACTGGTTATACTAAATTAGACCACTGTTGGTAGGAATGTAAATTGGTACAGCCATCACGGAAAACAGTATGAAGGTTCCTCAAAAACTTAAAAATAGAACTACTATGTGATCCAGGACTCCCATTTCTGGGTATATATCCAAAGGAACTGAAATCAAGATCTCAAATAGATTATCTAGTATCAAATAGATACTCCCATGTTTATCACAGCACTACCACAATAGCCAAAACACGGAAATAACCTAAATGTCCAATGTCATATACATACAATGGAATGTTTTTCAGCCTTAAAAAAAAATCCTATCATTGTGACAAGATGGATGAACCTGGAGGATATTATGCTAAGTGAAGCACATCAGACATAGACAAATACTATATGATGTCACTTATATGTAGAAACAAAAATAAACTCATAAAAGCAGAAAGTAGAATGGTGGATGCCAGGGAAAATGGGAAGATGCTAGTCAATTAAAAATGGTTAAAGGTCACATATGACACATTCAAATTCAATTACGAAATGTGGTGTATTCTCATCATACAGGAGTTAATTCTGAGTATTAACATCATGGCAATCATACCTTAAATCAAAAAATTTTTTTGAAACTTAAATTCCCAGAGATGAAGACTTCAAAATGACACGTATAGCTTAAAAAGTAAAGCATTTTTCACCATGCTGACCAATCACCTGCCCCATTCTAATTTATTTCAGGAAAAGAGCACATAAAAGCAAATGGTCACCGTGTGGGTTCATTATTTTAGATATACAAATCCTACTTTAAAAGTAACATCCTAAGGGTGCCTGGGTGGCTCAAGTCGGTTGAGCAGCTGACTCTTTGATTTCAGCTGTCATGATCTCAGTCGTGGGATGGAGCCCCACATCGAGCTCCATGCAGGATGTGGAGCCTGCTTAGATTTCTCTCTCCCTCCATGCGTGCATGCACATGTTCTCTAAATGAATGAATGAATGAGACATCCTAGAAAACTCATTCATACTATTTGTATGTGTTTTTCTTACTACTTCCCCTAATGTAACACACAGAGAGAGCCAGGATGCCTGTCCCAGTATGGCAGCACAAGCGTTCACAAGTATAACCACATTTAAGCCAGATCAGCAATATGGGTAATTTATTTCTGATTCATGAAGCAACAAATCTCCTTGTTTCTTTTTTTGAATGTTATGACTTTTCAGACAGCTCCAAATATACAAAAAATGAAAAAGATCTTTTAGTTATGCTGTTTTAACAGGTCTAATTCTGACATAAAAAGTTAGGAAAGTCATAAGGCAAAATGAAAATATCTATTAGATCAGGAGGGTATTTTACTATTGCTTGAGCCAAAACATGATCTACATTTCAACACTGTGATTATTAACTTTGGTTTAATTTGCTGTGAATTTATCCTAAAAATGACAAAAGCAATATACACTCAACTCAAGGTCACAAATAAATTCTGCAAACAGAAAAGAAAATAAAAATATAAATGGTAAGGCTTCACAGAGATTTCCAAATGTCCCTCTCTTTATAGGTGCATACATTTAAAAATTTCTATCTTTATAAGAATTTTAAAAAAGCAGCACAACCTAAGTACTAGAAAATGTAATTTATATCCCTTCTCAAATGTCTTTCTGATAATTTGTCAAAACTCCTTAACACTAAGAGAAAGGAAGCTTGGCCTAACTTAATAAAAGTAAAATCACATGTTGGTTACTTCAAAATTGGTCACTGTATCCCTAGATAATTAAAATTTCAGTTTTCCTCAGAACAATGAATTACATACAAGATTGTTTTTACATATAATTTTATTTTTACCAAAAGGTGTTTTAACTAATTAACCCTGCAGATACTTAAAAAAAATTTTTACTATGTACAAAAATTAGATAACTGCTCTTCCTAAAAAGCTTATAGAAAGCTCAAAGAAATGGGATGCGTGGGTGGCTCGGTCAGATAGGTGTCCAACTTCGGCTCAGGTCATTATATCATAGTTTGTGCGTTCAACGTGGAGCCTGCTTTGGATTCTGTGTCTCCTCTCTCTGCCCCTCTACCCACTTGTAATCTGTCTTTCAAAAATAAATAAGTGTAAAAAAAAAAAAAAAAGCTCAAAGAGAAAGACAAATTAGTAATTATACAAGTCAAAATTCACAAGTACATTTAAAAAAAAGAGGTAGAGATAAGATGCTATAAGCACAGAACTAATCCGTCCACAAGTATTTATGAACCATCATACTCTATCACAAATGCCACACAAGGACCTAAGAAAACAGCAGTAAACAAGAAAAGGTATCTCTGGTCTCCATCAGTGGCTCAGGCACAGACTCTCAACAAGTATATTTCAGTGAATTTTATAAAAAGAGAGGTCAAGGAAACCACGGAAGCTACACAGTTGATTCTTTTTTTTTTTTTTAATATTTTTATTTATTTTTTTATTTCTAGGAGAGAGAGAGAGACAGCGTGAGCAGGGGAGGGTAAGAGAGAGAGGGAGATACAGACTCTGAAATAGGCTCCAGGCTCTGAGCTGGCAGTCAGCACAGAGCCCGACGCGGGGCTCAAACCCACAAACCGCGAGATCATGACCTAAGCGAAAGTTGGACACCCAACCGACTAAGCCACCCAGGCGCCCCGCTACACAGTTGATTCTGTCCAGAAGGATTAAAGAAAACTTTAAAAAAGTGTTACTTGTATTGGGTCTTAAAGGCTGAGAAGTAGGTTAACAAGCAGGAGGACCAAGAAGCTAGTAGGCCTGGCAGACACATCAGTGAGAAAGTAATTACACTCGAGTGGAGGGGGAAGAAACCAAACCAAATAGGATGAAATGGCAATAAAAGGAAGTGGAACAGACACATACAAATTAACTATCAAAAATTAAAAGGGAGAGGGGGATAGAATTGTTGCTTATTTAGTTTAAAACTCAATGAAAGGGAGAGTGAAAGCCTTATAAGGAGTAAACAAAGGTTCTAACCTTTCCTAGAGCAAATCCTTTATCTGAACAATGTGGGGACGCACACAATTTTGTTTAAAACATGGAAGAGTTCTTTAATCCAGAGGCAGAGCAATTCAAACTGCAAAAAGCCACACAAAAGAAGTAAATTCATGGAACTATATCCATTTCAGATTAAGATTAAGTAAAACTCACTGCTTCAAAAGAAAACTCAGAACTAGATCTTTCAGCCCACAAAGAAAAGAGTATTTCTGCCATAAAATGTTATCACTAATTTAGGATCTAACTTTGAGATTAAAACAATATAACCCAAATCTCCATATCATTCCCTGGAACTTTCAAAGAAAAACCAATTCCAGTGAATTCACTCTATTCAGTAGCAGTGGAGGATCAAAACATGGTTCTATCAACCCAAAGAGTTCTCCAAAACATTCAGCAACTTTTATGAAGCTTGACTTCTCTTCCTGATGGGCTACACCAGTGTGGCTATGGTCCAAACAGAGAGACTTAGACTCATCAATACATGCAGTCCAATCCTCTTCTGCAAATGTTACCAGACATTTAATTGGTCAGGGTCACTGCATCTTTTACTCTTTGATATTAATTGCTGTGAATAAGGAGATCCTTCACTGTATATGAATTATCTTATTTGAAATAAAACCGAATGCCCTGATATGCCAGGAGGACTTCCTCTGTGCTACACAATAGATCTGTAGGCCTACCTGGACAACTGCTACTTAGAGTGACCTGTTCACTAATGTGAACAAGGAGCAAGAGAATACTCTATGGTAAATCTCTGTATTCTGACATGGAACACGTTCACGAGATAGTGTTAAATGAAAAAAGTAATTATTGCAGAATAATAATTATGGTTTTACGTGTATAAAAACTACTACACAGCGAAGATGTGGGCTTAGAATGGAAGGATACATATTTAAAGATGAACAGTAGCTATGAGTGGAAAGAACAACAAAGCGTTGAAGAGTGTGAGGGCAGTGAAAGAAGGGACTTTGCGCCCCCACATATACACATACACATAATGGTTAATGAGTCAGTATAAATTCTGTACAGAACAAAAACCCACCTTAAACAAATTATCAAAACAAGTTACAGACTTTTGAGGAAAAAATTACCTAACTGCAAGTAGTTTGAGAACTGACTAAGGCATATTTGCCCTCTAACAACAAAGACAAGCGTCCCTTGTAATGTTCATAAAGTTACTGGCACAAAACAACTTTGTTCCCTCACTGTCACCACTGCTGTATTAAAGACATCTACACCTCCCTGGTTTATACTTCTTCCCTTCTGCACGAGGCAGTAAATCGTAACATCTCCAACCACCACCTTTAGTTACGGAGCACTCACCACGTGTACAGCACAGTGCTGCACGATACCACACAAATCCTACCTATGGCTGGACTGTACAAATGAGCTAAACGGAAGAGATGCTCTTAGGTTAAAACATAAACAGGTCTACATTCAAAAAGTAGTTGTCTTTTTTTCTTGCTAGCCTTTTCATTATTTAGTGCTGAGAGATTTTTTTTCAAACACGAAATGTCTTTCCTATGAGCTGACAGTTGGCCCACAGATTTAAAAAAAAAGTTATTTAGAGAGATACTAAGGCCAATACGTAAGAAAATTACAATAAGATATGTAACAAGAGCTGCCTTAAATGACTTAACTGATAACAAATCCTGTAAATACCAATCCCTCTGAATACCAATTATTTACTGAAAATGTCTAAGATTTCACCTCTACATTTGGATAAAGAACAAATTTTAGCTCCCATTATCATCCTAAAATTTGTTCTAGGTCAAAACTCATGTGTTTTTAAAAGGAATATAATTTTCACCACAAGCTACAATGTTATGATAATAGTTTGCAATGAAATTTGCAATACAATTTATTGTGGGGTATTTATTTAAAAAACAAACAAGCTGATAGAACACAGACTTGGATAAAAGGTTTTAAACATTTAGAAAGACTTACCTCATCACAGTCTCCTTCAACCATGGCATATATAGCTTTCTTAACCAAGTTAGTACCTAGAATATAGATTTGAGTATTAATGAAGGATAATTTAGTTTCTTAAGGATACCTAAATTATATTTATAATAAGCATAGAAATACCAAATGCTGGCTTTTACCTTGAATGGAGATTAACAGACTATCTTAAGTGAGAAAAAATTTATCTTTATACTGAGAGACCAACAGAACCTACACAGAGTAACATAAGTTTCCTCTTAAAAGACTTATCTCCTTACGCATCTCTTCTTCTCAGGTGTAATTATTTGCGTCAAGCAGGAGTTTGTGCTATTCTGTTTCAAAGTAAGAGAAAAGGGAAAAAAGAAAAAAAGCAAGCTATGGGATGGCCAAAACAGCCCAGGAAATCCTTAAATTAGCCAGAAGTTACAACAAGACCCTTGAGTCAATCTTGCCAAAGATCACACCAGAAACTGCTGTGACCCAGAGTGGGCCCAAGACACTGGGTTGGTTCCTACAAACCTTACAGTGAGCCTGGGCATTCCCAAATGATGCCAGTGGGGTCTCTGCAAATGTCTAGCTACATGTATCCTAGTTTAGGGTCAGATATACTTGGTACATTAAAGGGAAAACAATTGCCAAATCTGATTTTAAGAAACCCAAATTCTGTTAGGAAATCTCTTAATTTTCAAAACAAATTACAGGAGCAAGAACACATTATACGGGCCAAACAAAATGTCTGAAGGCCAGGGTGCAATCCTCAAGCCACCAGTTTCTGCCTTCTGAACTAGACAGATAATTGCCTATCATTTTGCCATGAGCTCTTATCAACTCTTTTTAATGCAAAAACTCAAACTTGGCTTATATAACAAGTTCAATTCATTAAAAACCCTAGCAGCAAACTCTAACACTGTAAAAAAAAAAAAAAAAAAAGTTCGTTAAATCTAATGTATTAAGTCAACTTATTCACAATAATTTCTCATGACCTCTCAGACTGTGACAGTCTTAAATTGGACAGTAATACTCGTATTTAAAACAACTACAAGTGACAAACTGCTAGTAACTAAATACTGGTCTAGGCATCAAATCTTCTTTCACAAATACTTAGTGTCATTAGATCCCAGAATTTGACATGCTCAGACAAGTGCTTGATCCCCCATTCTGCACAAAGAGCCAGTAGGTCCTAGACACTAGGACATCACAGTCAGCTGGGGACGCTTCCATCCTACTTCTAAGAGGCCACACAAGATTCCCAGGAAGAGGGACCTAAGCATTTCTTTTTCAACCACCCTGATGATTCTAATGACCATTATAAATCACAAGTATAAGATTGACTGAAAATGCCAGGAAAAGTAGACCCAAGAAAGTGATGAATTTGGGAACAGTAAGAAACAATTCTCCTGGTCCTCCATGAATTGCTGATATAATGTTTGATGACTAGTACTAAATAATGGTAACAATTTCTCCATAATTTTGCCTTGAGGTCCACTTAACCTAAGTATAGACAGCTCCTCAAGGGCTCTGATCATGTGGGCCAATAATGCTATTAAAAACTGCAGCACATAGTCTAATGCAAAGCATTTTGAATGTGATCAAAAAAATGTTTGGAGGTAAAAACTGATCATCTGTTACTTGTCAGAATGATAATTTCTCAAACCAAACATTAATAAAGAAAACAATTCATTTTAAGAAGAGTTTGAAAATATTTTGAAATAAAAACAACCTTAATTTTCTCCCTTTAGCTTCTCATTTCTATATATACACTTATGTCTTCTGCTTTAAAACACAAAAATGAAAATAGCTTATGCATTCTTTTAGTGACATAGTGTTTTCCTTACCAATGCCATTTCTCCTGTATTTGGAATCCACGGCTAACATGGCTATATAACCTCTGCGGAACATCTTTTTGTGCATATCCAACTTGCAAACGATGGCACCTACACACTCCTCCCCTACCATGGCCTTAAAAATAAACAAACAGTTATGAAGAATACATTGCCATCAGGTACTGCAGAATTACCCAGGGAAACAGCAACCAACTGCTGGTCAGCATTTTTGAGGAAAGAAGAGAGAAGAATTTTAGTAAGAGAGCAATCACAGTTTAAATCCCAGAACTCCTTCAAAAGTTCCAGTTTTAAAATCTTTCAACATTGCTTAGGGCACAAATGTCTTATGTTTATTATCAAAGCCTGGAGGGGAAAAAAGCAAGATTTCCACAAAGTAAATATCCAAGTACTTTATAAGAGGTGCTTATAATTATTTGCAATAAAGACCTACATATTTAAAATTCAGGAAGGGGGAAATACGTGAAAGTAATTTTTTAAAGAAAATGTCTCTTCAATAGGGCATAAAATATTGTGAAACCTATCAAAGTGCTATAAACTTAAATACAATTCTAATAAAGTTTTAGTGAAAGACAGATAGAACACCTAATATTTATACTACCTGAACAGTAGAGTTCGATTTTGATCAGGGGAAAAAAACCAAAACAGAACTAAACAAAAAACCATAAATGACTTTCAGAAAAAAGATTTTTTTTAAGGTATTCCTTGCATCCTACATAAAGACTACAAAGACTAGATATTCCATGGTCTCATTTTTAGGACACTCTTGAAGGTGTCTTTATCATAAAGTTCAAAGACTATCTAGACCTTAAAACCAGAGCTTAATAGTAAAGCAAAAGCTTTAATTTACAGAGCTACTTTAATAAAAATGTATGTCTTTCCAGAGTATTAAAAGGTTAAATGTTGAATAAATGCTAATTATCCCCCATTTTTACTAAGATTTCCAGTGTTATCACTGAAAATGTTTTTCAAAAGTTCTGTCACTGATGAAAAGTTCTAGTAATACTGTATTCTGGTAAATATCAATAACGTAATAGCTCTCATCGTTTAATGTGTCAGCTAGTTAGAAATACTTGTTTGCTCTAAAAAGCTCTCATTTAAAAGACATGAAAACTTCATATTATCTCTTAATAAAATTTTCAGAAGAAACTATTTCAACAGTAAAAAATGGGAATTGGTTTAAAAGATTAAAAAGCAGTTTATACTTAATTTTAACTTTATTTTGATGTGACATTTTTTAGTTCACCATTCTGTAAAAGGATTAAAAAGCCTTTTTTAAACTCTGGAGAAATCTTTTAGATAAGACAATTCTAATGTATTTCACACAAACCTAAACTAGGTTACAAAAATCCTTTGAAGGGATATTAAATTCAATAGTCTACTCTAATTCATTTGTTTTATCACACAATCCAAAACTATCTTGTAAAATAAACCTCTAAAATTGTTATTTCCATTTTCATTCACATTAAATCAGTCTGGTTCTGTTAAAATTGTTTCCAGAACTAAAATTTCTGGGGAACCTGGGAGGCTTAGTCGGTAAAGCATATGACTCTTGACTTTGGCTCACGTCATGATCTTGCAGTTTGTGAGTTCAAGCCCAGGCTCTGCACTGACAGCGTGGAGCTTGTTTGGGATTCTCTCTTTCTCTCTCTTTCTCTATCCAGTTCTCACTCACACTCTTATCTCTCTCAAAATAAATAAATAAACTTAAAAAAAACAAGCACCATAAAATTTCTTTCTGAAATAAGAGCTGATATATATACACACAAAAGTTGCCTGGTTGAACAACTCTGACAGCATTTTCTGACTTTAAAATAACTCATCTCAAATATATGTGGTTGTGTGTATATAGATGTACATACATGTTAGACCAAAAGGTACATTAAAAAACGTTTTTAAGTAGGCTTCACGCACAGCACGGAGCCCAATGTGGGGCCCAAACTCATAACCCTGAGATAAAAGACCTGAGCTGAAATCAAGAGTAGGACACTTAAAGGACTGAGCCATACCAGGTATCCCACATTAAAAAACTTTTTCACCTGACCTTGTAAATTAGGGAAAATGGAAATCTATAAAAATCTATGACATAAAACTGTAGGACAGCTACCCTCCATAATTAATAAACCATCCCAAAGAGGAAATAATCAAAACCACTAGACACAATACATTTGGACGACACTTTCAAATAGGACAGGAATTTCAAATCTTATCTTTTGACCAACGGAGTAATAGGCAAAAAAAGTATTATATCAGTTCACGCTTGGACTAGGTTGACCCTTTCTAATTAAGAATCTGTAGGAGCAAAAATCAAGTGGTACTCATCATTAAAAAATAAAAGCCCAATGTGGAGCTAGGGTGGCTCAGTAGGTTAACCGTCCAACTTCTACTCAGGCATGATTTCTTGATTCGTGGGTTTGGGCCCCACATCAGGCTCTGTGCTAATACCTCAGAGCCTGGAGCCTAATCAGGCTAATATATAATAAAAGCCCAATATATAAAGTACTGTTACTAATAAGATACTGGTAGTGAGAAAGGCCTATCCATTTTTTTCCTAGGAAATTGCTGATGAATATATAAGAATTACTAAACTGCTTATCAGTTTTTCCAAATAAAAGCTTCTGCACATATATCTGGAAGTCATACTATTAAATGTGTTCTTTTTTCAAGGATGGGAACTGAAAAAATCCTGGCAAGAGTAAGACTTAACTCCACAAGGACAAATGCTTGTCAATCTATAAAACTTGAAAAATAGAAGTTGTGTGAAATAGAAATTTCCAAATTCCAGAATGCTATACATAGAAAAACAGAGGAAGCCAGAAAGTTAAATTTAGAATAAACAGAAGTACTACAGTACATCACTGGTAATAAGTTTAAGAAGTTCAAAAAGACACCAAAAGCTAAAAATACCATGAACTCAAAAACAGCAGAGATAAATTAGTTAAGAACAGAGTAATTGACAGGGTCTACCATTTGTATAGTACTCTACTTTCATATCTGTTACAATTATTAGGAAGAACTATAAGAAACTGTCATTTTTGTTAGGTATGGTCAAGTGTTGGCAATTTTCTAAAGTTCAACCTCATACATTCCATTTGATCCATTACAGGTTATATATAGAATCCAGAAACATTTTGGAGGTTTTAATCTCTTGAGATTATTGACGTTTGCCAGGACAACTGTCTCTTGATGAAACATAACTTGGTGACACAATGATCTTCCCTGACTAGATCAAGGGTATGTCATTTTTTAGGTTCTTACTTATTTCCATAATGAGAAGTCAGGTAAAGTTCTAGCATTACCTCTCTGCCACTAAATATCTGAAGCCTTTTTCTTTTTCTTTTTAAGATTTTAATTTTAAGTAATCTCTACATCCAACTTGGGGCTCAAACTCACAACCCTGAGATCAAGAGCGGCATGCTATGGGGTGCCTGGGTGGCTCAGCTGGTTACGCGTCCAACTCTTGATTTTCAGTTCAAGTTGTGATCTCATGGATTGTAAATTCGAGCCCCATATCAGGCTCTGTGCTGACAGCATGAAGCCTGCTTGGGATTCTGTTTCCTTCTTTCTGCCCCTCCCTCAAAAATAAATGTTAAAAAAAAAAATAAATAAAGAGCCACATGCTCCACAGACCGAGCCAGCCAAATACCACTAAATACCTGAAGATTTAAACACTTTCAGTCACTCTGGTCCTTAATTTTTTTTTTCATTAAAAAAAAAAAAAAGTGAAGCTGAGCTAGATTACATTTAAGACCCTTTAGAATTCTAAAATATGATTTAAAATAAACATACACACTTATATTTGTTTTAAACTGTTCTCAAAGAAAGTTTAAATTTTTTTAAATGCCAACATAAAGGCTCCAATTCTAAGTGGCCTCTGATTAACTGTTGTATTCTGTTCAATATCTCCAGATACATACTTGCACCAATAAATCTTAGATGTCAACCACTTGTACATATCTCAATTTCCAGATATTCAGAATTTAATATTAAATAAACTGACTATTAAGGGCTAATGTACAAACTAGCTGGTAAATTGGAAGGAGTCTACATAAAATCAAAACTAAAGTTTAATACTGAGTTTATCAGAGTCTAAAATGGCAGACAAGTTGAGAGAGGCCCAGGTAATATCAGAACTCAAAGCTGACTAAATATTATATATACAACTATCTTCTGTAGTTAACAGAAATACATATTTCAATTTAAAGTTTGACTCAATCATATACTTTTGTGGGTAAACTTACAATTTTTGGCAATTACAGTGGCATTTAATGACACATATATAGTGCTATAAAGTCATCCCCATATTCACTGACACAGGCATGTCTCTGAACTTGTATTTTGATACAATGATTAGAATCCTGTCAGAGCAGTTTTGCAGAATAGAAGACAGTTCCTACAGTTTAAACAAATACACTAAATGTAAGTTTAGCAAAGTGAACATAGAAAACAGCAGAACTACCATTATCTACAATTCTGAGGTTATATTTTTAGATGACCACGAACATACAGAATCAGAATCAGAAAGATGGATTTCTAAATAGTGTCAAAACACTTGGGATTTGCTAAGTGCAACTGAGTCAATGCTAAAACATAAATTATAGTAGCTTTTCCCTTTACATAGCATAAAATATTTCCTAAAAGTATGTTGCCTTTAGTGAAATTCAAGAAATAAAATGCTTGCGAGGACACGATACAAAACATACCTCCAGTTAATATTTAACTGAAAGGTTTCAGACTAAAATTGGTCAATATTATTGGCAAGAAACTATTGGTACTGCCAGTACTACATAAATTAAAAAAAAAAACCAAACACCTATTTAGCTGGTTTCATAGCCAAATCTTTTTCACTTACATAGAAGTCAAAAAACTTTGTCCACTATGCTTTACACAAGCCAGGGTTACTACTAGTGTATAGGTGTATCTATGATCAGTTTCGTAAAGGAAAAAAATTAGGTTAGTAACAATTTCACACTTAAGTTTCCTACATGCCACAGAACGGCATTTTGTTCAAGCTTCAGGAGTCTTTTCAGCCACCAGAAGTGTTAGTAGCGCCTTCTACAATCTAGCACCAGAAAGCAGGATGGCTACAACTGCTAATTGTCCTGTTGAAGTAAAAGGAAACAATCTCCATAATTACAGAAAACGCTTGTAAGACTGAATTCTCCAATGTGGCCGCAGCAAGTTTACTGACAATCATGTGCACCAAAACATGTTTATGCATACACTCTTCCCTGATTACGGCTGTAATTGAGAGATTAATAAAGCCTGTATCCGAACAGAACCATGTTCAAATTAAATGATTGCAAAGTGCTTTGAGGATGAGGGAGGGTAATTAAAGACGGTTAAACATGATTATAAGCTAATATAAACAGAATCCGAGACCCCCAACATGCATCGTACAGGCTTGTCGTCGCATTTACAGGAGCACCAAGGTAAGCCAGAGCACGAAGTCTTACCTCCAGAACAGTTTCATTAAATAACTAGGAGCGTGGACACGCACTTTTACATCACGGAACGTACTACGAAACGCAGAGGTATGTATACATCCACTGCCACGCTCAGCCCTCACACACCCTGCCCTGCACGGCCTGGATCTCTCTGCTGCGTCCACCCTGTTCGCATTCCATCCACTTACCAAGAAGCACAGCTGTGGCCAGTTGTGGATAAAATATCTATAGGTATAAATGGAGTAGGGTTCAGACAGATCTTTGGTGATCAGTCTCATGATATCGGGCATTTGTAGCTCGGATTCATATCGGACATAACGTATCGTCCGATCCTCCCCGGGCTCAACCTCCCTGCCCGGGGGGCTTCTCAAACTGCAGCCGGCGGTCAGGGATGAAGACAGCAGCCGCACCTGCTCCTCTTCCTCCTCCTCCTCGGTGCCCTCCGCCAGTCCATTGCGGGCCGCCGCAGGATCGCTCGCCGCCACTGCCTCCGCCGGGCTGGGGAGCGCAGTTCTTCCATTACTGGGGAGGCAGTGAGGGGGGCTCTCGCCCGAGCGTACCCCAGCTCCTTTTGTTGCAGTCGCTCTGGGCCCCCCGTCGGGGGTGGCCGTGGTCGTGGCCGCCTCGGCCGCGCTCAAAACCTTGCTCTTGAGGGAGGCGGCCGCCCGGAGGTGCCGCAGTTCGGGGCTGATCAATCCGTTGAGCTGCTGCTGCTCCTGCGGCGGCTGAGGGCAGCGGAGGCACGGATGCCCCTTGGCCGCCGCCGCCGCCACCTCGCCGCCCGCCGGGCTCCTGCCGCCGCCGCCTTCGTGCTCCTCGTCGTCCTCCTCGTCCTCGCTGCAGCAGGCGAGGGCGGCCCCCGCCGGGAAGGGACAGCGGGGCTCGGCCGCCGCCGAGGCCGGAGGTGCTGGTGGTGGGAGGAGGCTGCTAGGCCCAGGCGGTACCTCCGCCATCCTAGAGGCGACACAGACCGAGAGGGGAGGCCATGAGACCCGGCGGACGAGCACGGAGCAGAGGGGGTGGCGGGCGGGGAGGGGGGCGGCGAAGGCGGGGGGGGGGGAACAAAGGCAGAAACCGTCCCTCACGGAGCAGCCCCCCCAATTCGGCGCCCCCCCCCGCTCTTCAGCGCCGCCCAGCTGTTCAGCCGGCCACCGTCCCCGTCCGCCCGCACCCATCCGCTGGCCCTGTCACCTGCGGCCCCTCCCTGTCCCCTCCGCGCGGCTCACCCCGCACAGGTCCCCGCCGCCACTGCCGCCACTCCTCTTCCTCCTCAGCCGCCGCCGCCGCCGCCTCCTTCGCCGCCGCGGCCGCCTCCACCGCCGCCAAGGTTCACACTCAGCCGCCGTCGCCGTAAAGCGCCTCGGCTGTTACCCCGGGTAAAGTTTCCTAGGCCTGGCTTTACGACACTTCCCTGCCTGCCGGCTGCCGGGGCCAAGGGAAAGGGGCGTGGAGGGAGGTGACCTGTGGAGGGGCGGGGACGAAGGTGTCTCCTGCGGGCTCTGGGAGAGGCTGCGAGTTAATGGGTGGGGCTGTGGGGCGGGGAGGTCGGCAAGGGCTTTGGAGTCTCCGGCGCCCAGTCCACTGTCCTCGGCGTTGGGACTCCTCAGCCGTCAGAGCTTGAGACGCAGGACCGGGCAGAGATGGGCGGGACGGGTGCGCTGTCTTCCAACCCCGTCGCCTCCACCGAGCTGTCGCGAACCCCGCCCGCTTGTGGCTTGCTGACCCCGCCGCACACGAGTCTCCTAAAAATGCTCCTCCTCCGCTGTACTACCTTTGCCCTCACCCGAGGAGGGGCGAGGGAGGGAGGCAGAGGAAGGAGGGCGGTTACCCGAGCCCCTTAAAAATGGAGCAAAACGGGAGAAAATCGAAAGAGAGGAAGTTAAAAGCTGTTGAAAACTGGTAGGTTTGCAGTGTGAATTAAGTTGAACTATTCTGCGCTTTTGACACAAGAGAAGGTGGACAGGTAGTCCTCGCTCGCTCCCCTTGTCCCCTTCCCTCCCGCCCAGTAATTTGGAGGGAAATGTGATTTAAATGTGCTGGACGCATGCAAGCACGCCTGGGCAAGGGTTAGAGATGGTGGGAGAAAGTGACAACGACTGGAAAAGCACACTCCCAAACTTGTGACACAAACTGTCACCGGGAAAGAGACGTCCTGAACCTCCCCAGTCACTCCACCAAGTGGTCTGCCCGGGCGGATGCAGAGAGAACAGCCGCACGCACTTGAGCATGTGGCTGCGCTCCTCCCCCAACCGTAGTCCGCAACTGGTGATTTCCAGCAGTTCTGTTCTTGTAACTCACCAGCACACGGAGCAAACTCAGTTTTTTGAAAACTGACTTGTAGAGCTAGTCATGTCAGCAGCAGATGGATGTTTTCAGGGACAGAATCTATGACTGATTATGTTTACAACTTTCTGCCTTGATCTAAACTCTAAAAAGTGGGATTTACTGTAGCATAGCTGTTAGGTACCATTGTTAAGATCCTTGTCACTAAAGAAGGCAAGGAGAAGCTATCACGTTCCGTCTGGAAGTTCAGTCTATAGTGATAAAAATAATAAAAGGTGTTACTATGTGCCAGTACTGCTGTATCTTACATGTATTTATTAACTCATTTATAGGTTTTTGTGAAAACTAATTTGTAGATGTTTATAGAAATACTGGCATTTGTGTACAAAGAGATGTAAATGCTTATTTATTTCAGCCTTGCCTATAGTAGGAAAAAATAAGTCCAAACAACCTAAGTATCTATCAATACAGGAATGATTAAGCTTAAGATACCAAAATACTATAGTTAATTATGTTATTGTTTGAAAGACCGAATATAATAGAATATATTGAGTTATTAATAATAAAATATATTGGTACCCTTCCAGTTAACTAAGGCTGCATTGCAAATTACCCCCACAACATAGTGGTAAAAAAACAGCCATCTATTATGCTGACAGATTCTGTGTGTCAGGAATTGAGACAGCACAGCACGTGTGACTTTCTTCTGCTCTCTTATGCATAGGGCCTCAACTGGAAGGCTGAGGATTGAAATCCTCTGAAAACTTTCATGTAGGTCATTGATACTGGCCGGAGGCTGCGGGCTGGAGACCTCAGCGCACCTCCTTGCAGACCCCTCCAGGGGCTTCCTCCCAGCATGACGGTGAGGTTCCAAGGGTGAGTATCCTAAGACCGTGAGAGCCAGGTAGAAGCATATTATGTTTGATGTGCCTTAGACATCATGCAGGGTCAATTCTGCTGCATTCTCTTTATCCAGGCCCTTATAAAGCCTCATCCAAGTTCAGGGGCAGGGGAGATAGATTCTCCTTCTTGATGGGGAAAGGCAAACTTTGTAGGGAGCACGTGGGACCAGCAATATTCCTGTGGCCATTTTTAGAAAACACACATTGCCCTAGGTGCTTAAGACCTCCTAAACACCCTAAGGAGGTAAAATAAACTACTAAGTACAATGGGATCCTATTTATGATTTTTTAAAAGTACAAAATAAAACCATATTTTCAAATGCACGTACAGCGTTTAACAATACATCTTTTTCAAATGACATAGTTTCTTAGTTTAACCTGGGTGGTCCTCCCAGAAACCATAATCTGTTCAAGTGGTGGGGGGTGGGGGGCGGAGTGGCCAAAATAGCCCCACACAATTCCCTAAGACGGGTTTAATTTTTTCCTAGCAAAATGCCTCTCAGTATCTGTGGAATAACTGTGTCCTGAAAAAGATACGACTCCACTGTAATGAATGAGTGGCAGCAAGTCTTATTGTTCTTTCCGCACTGTAACTTGGCACTGAGCTTTCCCACCCTGAGGGGCTCACTTAATGTTGTCCCACAGTTATTTTCAGAGAGATGAGAATTATAAAGACCTCCTTAAAGTCAGTGACTGAGTCTTATTCACTCAGTATTCACATATTTAATACATAAAAGGGGACCTGTTGGGTTTTATTTTTACTATGTTATGCTATTCTCTCAGCAGTGTAGGATGTTTATAATTACGGAGTAAATTCTGGCCTCCTTCCTAGTTAACCAGCTAATAAGATCTCTGATACCTCAGCTCCAGTGACTCTTGTTTTACATCCCAGTATTAAGATCCCAATGATGATCATCTAAGTCAGAAGACTTCCTCAAGAAATCTGTCCTTCTATTTGTAAAACCTTTTAAAACTGATGCTTGTGAGTAATATGCTGATATGATGATGGCATTATTTTAGGTATAGAAATAGGATTAGTTCACTCCAGTGTTGTAGGCATATTTGCCTATTAAGAAACTCCGAAAAGGCAACTATCTCCATGAGCGATGACTTCATGGGAAGGAGGAAAAAATGGTCTTGGAGCAGGGGAAGTGTAACAAGTGATAGTCTTTTAATTAGTGTTTTCATTGCTTTGTAATATCTTATGATGCAATAGTCACTTATTTACTATTGTCTTTGTTCTCTTTTGAACAATGAAAGGACACACCTTAAGGGTTTTTTTAGAAGAAAAAACTCCTCATTAAATCAATCAAAATAACCAACAGCAGTTTTGAAACAATATCCTCAAGCGACTTCCTTAAGTTAGCTTGAAAGGAGAATCGTTCCTTCCCAATTCTAACAGCTAGACCTTTTTTTCTTATTGGCCAGGTTTTGGTAAAAGTAACTGGGAACGGACATGTTAGTAATGGAGATATCCTCGAAGTTCTCTGACTCAGCATGATGTCATGTTATGTACCATAGGCACACATACTGAATAATTTAAATATTTGTATAGTTTTATTTTATCTGCCACATGGCTCTTAATCCTACTAATCCTACCTATTATACATAAAGCCTTGTATATGACTGTCCTTAGTTTTATCCTAGATGAAAGAAAGGGGATACATTGAATTTGAGGTTTATAGAATTTAATCAAAGGATGAATATTAGTATGTTGTGTTGCCACCTGCAATCCTGGAACACTGTGAGATTCCCAGGTAAAGTGCTTTAGTTAACAACTCGATTCCTCCCTTTGAACTTGAGGAAGTGACATTCCGTTCTTTCAAATGCTCTGCCCCTTTGCGAGCAGTGTTTCTCAGTCCCAATTGTAGGCACGGGTTTTGTTTTTATAATGGAGGCCTCAGGAGAGTAGAAGGAACCAGAGAGGACTGTGAGCAAACGGTCAGTATTTCCATTACTTTCAACCTCATACTTTCATAACCTGCCCAGGGCAGGAACACGTGGATTCTCTTATCTCCACCTGGGTAAGTGAGAGGTGCTGGGCAGAATCATATATTCGTACATACCAAAGCCATTGAAAATATTTGATCTCCAATTTAGCTATGCTCTCAGCCGTCAGTACTCTAGAGTTGTTTTTACCAGTTTTCCAGGCCAGCTTCATCCAACAGCAACTATCTCTGACCACTACTTACTTCACACTCTGCTTCTCAGCAGATGCCCCTATCTCTACTTCACTCAGAGAAATGAACTCTTATAGGGATGCACTCACTCCACTCCCACCCCCCGTGCCAATAAATGCATCTATATCTGCACTGACCCTTATATCCTTCCCCGTCAGTTTTAGAGGGTAGAAGATGGCCCTATTCTTCCAGACTAATACCTCCCTCTACCTGTGAGCTTGATGTCATCTCTTTCAGTCTCCTTTTTTTAAAGCTTTATATATAGATATAACTTTATTTTTTAGAGCAGTTTTAGGTTCACAACAAAATTGGGTAAAAAGTAGAATGATACACTGTTTACAATTTCTTTCTTTCAAGTCCCCTTTGGAACCTGTCCCATCATTGTTCTCTCTCCTGAATGTTCAGTGGTACCTTTGCTGGCTGTTGCCTCAAAGCTTATACATGCACTCCATCTGGAGACTTCTCCTACCATCCTTTCTCTCTCTGCTTTCCATCGCAGTGAAACTGCCAATCTGTAGTAGGTAGCCACCATCTGCACTGAGATGCAAGGATGCAAGGTCCCTCATTAGCCAATCAGTTGGCTTCCACCTCAACCCTTCCACTGACACCTCTCTGGCAAAAGTCACTCGTATGCCCCAAGGGCTAGTCCCATTAGCCTCTTGAACTCACATGTCACTTTATTTTCCCATGGCATTTGATCCTGCTATGCCCTTTTGAAACTCTTCCCTTGGCTTCTGTCATACCATACTCCTTTGCCCTCCTCCTCTGAGCACTCCTCAGTTTTTCTTGATACCGTAGTCTATAATCATCACAGCAGTAGCTAGCATTTATTGCGGGCCTACCATATATTAAGTATCTTATAAGCAATAGCCCATTTTAGTTCTCACAATAGCTCTATGAAATATGAAGCAAAATTAGTGGTTACAAGCCAGACCAGAATTGGGTCACTGGCCTATTTCTGAGTCAGTCACCGGAAACCCAGTCATTGGGCTTACT